TGGGCCTAATTTGTAAAAAACCTTAATTTTTATGAATTAAATTGTTATTTAATACAATTTGAGCCAAAAATGAAATTTACGATTTTTATGGGCTGAAAATGACACCTTATTCGAAATTGGGTCTAAAATGTTATTTTTACAAAACTTGGGTCGAAAAATGTCATTTTTATTAAAAATGGACTGAAAATACAAATCTTTATAAAAATAGGCCGAAAATAACATTTCATATATAACTTGGCCAAAGATGTCAATATTCATGATATTGGGCCAAAAATGTCGTTTTAATAAGAAGTGGGCTTTTTATTTCATTTGGAAAAACAATCGAGCTAAATTCAACAAGTTGATATCAAACGAACAAAATACATCGATTACATGTTGAATGGGCCTAAAGCTTACATTACATGTTTATTGGGCCTTAGTGGTCCATTTACATGCTTATTGGGCCTAGACTACATATTACATGTTTATTGGGCCTTAGTGGTCCATTTACATGCTTATTGGGCCTAGACAACACATTACATGTTTATTGGGTCATAGTGGTCCATATACAAGCTTATTGGACCTAAACTATACATTACATGTTTATTGGGCCTTAGTGGTCCTTCTACATGTCCGTTGGGCCTCGTACATTCATATACATACTCGTTAGGGCTTTTCAAACATAAAACATACAAAGTAAACAATATATAAATAATACAATATTCGCATAAACTCAGTCAAGGATGCTAGTGAGACATGTCGGTTGACACCTCTAGAGTGTACAATCGTAGCCTGTAGTTATAACCAGAGTCTCCTGGAGGGAGAGCGAGATTTTGTGTATAGATCTATACGGGGTGACACCCCACACCTGAGCTGTTCGCTACAGTTAGAATAGGCCAGTCTAGGGTGACAAACCTTACCGTAAATCAAGCCGGCGCCTAAAAACGTCACGACAGGCGAATTCGTCATAATCAAGTATGGTTAAAACGGCTCACATAGAGATCATCTCCAACAAAATTTTATGGAACACTTGTAAAAATCTTGTTGATACAATAACATACATACATTGATATTCGGTCTTAGGGTTTAGACCACAACACTCTTATAAACAGAAAATATAGGATTTTCTGGGGTAATACACAGTTAAACAATATCTTTTACTTACTACAGAAAATACAGGGTTTTTATTTGGATTGCATTTTATATACATTCCAAACACAGAAAACACACATGCATTAATACTTGATTTTGATACATCACGTTCAAACCATTTTTCAGAAAATATCGGATTTTCTGGTGTTTTACAAATAATTCAAAACTTTTCATTCAAATATGCTTATGAACTCACCAACATTATATATGTTGACGTTTTCAAAATAACTTGTATTCTCAGGGAATCTTTAAGCGGAAAGGTCAGCAGGAAATGTGGAATTTGTTATATTTTGTTATCATCATACATTAAATATATTGGACGTGTAATTTATGATACTGTACTTGATGTAAACAATGCTGGTTGTATTTTGATATGTATGATGATGGTGTTGTCTCGTTTTAATTATATACATTGTGATGATTATACAAGATGAAGTCACACACAAACCCCCGGACGTTTCCGCCGTCTGGTTCGGGGGTGTGACAGATTGGTATCAGAGCATTGTTTATAGTGAACTGGCATATCTAATCATACAGGATATGCAACTATAAATATAATGGGACTAAAACACTCTGAATGAAATGCATACCTAGGCATACATTAAAACAATAACACTAAAAGTCTCTGGAGGAAATGGAACACTGTGATTAAACCCGGACAGTTATGTGGTCATATTGGGGTGTCAATCCCAATATAGATCTATATACAACTATCACGCTCTCCCTACAAAGAGACTCTGGTTACAATTACAGGACTTTTGATTTCGTTACCTTGGAAGTAACGTGAAGCGAATGTCTCACAAAGTTATTCATTAACAGATTTACGTGTGGTGATCCGAAAACTCTTTTATGTAGAAATAAAACCTTTTGTAGGAAGTTTGCTCGTATAACATAAACTATCTTTGTTATAGTTTATCAAATTGTTTGTAATGTAAATGAACATAAACTATGCCTATTATAGTTTATCAAAACGTTTGTAATGTATAGTTTTCTTGTAAAAGTAGTGTTCGTTATGTAAATGAATCATAAACTATACCTATTATAGTCTATCACATAGTGGTAGTAGTAGTGAACATAAACTATACTTACAATAGTTTATCAAAATGTTCGTATGCAATGGATATAATCTTTGTTTATTATAATTAATTACCATACTTGTGGAGGTAAAAATACATTTGTTTTCTGATGTATGTCTATTTACCAAGACAAAATGACATATAATATAACACATATATGCACATAATGATACACACCTTGCTCAACAAGTTACAAGGTGTAAGTGAATTTGATAATATTTTTCTAGTGTTAACATTTATATTCCTGTTCTATAGAAAAATCATCAAAGGTCCAAATCAGAATCCGTAAATTCTGAGAGTTTGGAAAATGTTTCTAGTTTGTTCCAAATTTTTATTATGATTTTTAAAGATATTTAACTTGTGTAAAAATGTCCATATTCACAGACTGGTCCGGATTTGTTCTTGAAATGATAGGGTTTTGTAAAAATCACCATAAATTGTGGAAAAATCGTATGGAGATGTGCAAGTAGTCATTTTAAAGGTATGAACCTGAACTATTTGCACCTAATACAGTTTTGAAAAATAAAATGTTTAAGTTGACCAAAACAGTCCGTGAATGGAGTTAAACTTTTCTGATGAAAGCTGTTGAATGAGTTTAGTTGTGTTCTTGGTGTTTTAACTTGTATCCCCCCCCCCCCCCCCCTAAAACTTAAGAAAACATGAAAAGATAGGGGTATGAACTCACCTTGAGTGATTTCAATAGATGGATGATGAAGAAAATGATGTTCAACTCAAGAACACTTAGAAGATGCTTGATGATTCGAAGATCTAACAACAAATATGACGATATTTGTGTAAGGAACCCGTGATTTGAGTGAAGAAGTGTAAGGAAATCAAGTGTGGGAATAGATTTACTTACCAAGGTGTGTGAAGAGCTCAAGATCAGCCTTGAATCTCGAATTCTTGGTGAGAGGAAGTGAGAGAGAATGAGTTTTGCTTTTTGGTGAAAAGTGAGTGAAATGGGAGGAGAGGTAATGATATCTCCAGCTTTTGATCAAGGTTGTGGCTGGAAATGAGTGTAAAAAGGACAATGATTGACTAGGTATGGGTAAATAGTGACTGGGAATAGTCAAGGAGTGGGTATGGGATGTAACTTATGTCCTTGCCCAAAGGATAAGTCAACACTCCACCTAAATATCTCACCAACTAGATTATATTCTTAGGCAATGATTTTCCTCAAAATATGATTAAAGTATGAATATTTAGGGTTTTATATGTCAAAATATAAGTTTGGGTGAAAATCCCACGTTAAAATAATTAAAAACGGGCTTAAAATGGAGTCGTGGTCGAAAACCGGGTGGAAAAGGGCTTACAGCGAGGCTTCTCGGATTGGGGCCGAAGTTCGGTCCCTTCTGCTATGGACCGAAGGTGAGTAGGAGCGAAATAGCCCGAAAGCAAAGGCAGGAAGCGAAGGCGAGAGGCTTTGGGTTCGGGTCAGAGGGTTCGGTCCTCAGCAGTTCGGTTTCGGTCCATCTTTGTTTGGCCCGAGAGGCTTCGCCCCTTAAGAGAAGGTTTCGGTTCCTTAAGGCTATTTTTCAAGAAATCTTCCCGTTTCGAGTGGTTTTTGACCCGGTTAAGTGTCGGGATGACCCGAAAGATTATAAAAAGTTAAAAGAGATTTTGAGAGAGATTTGGGAGAGATTTCACACACTTGGAGAGATTTCTCATACATAGAGAGATTTGGGAGATGTTTCACATACTTGGAGAGATTTCTCATACATAGAGAGATTTGGGAGAGATTTTTGATAGAAAGAGATAGAGTGAAAGAGGTTGGGAGAGATTTCGTTTGCGACCTTTTTGAGTGTTTGGCTTCGCAACGCAAGGTTTGTACATCCCGTTAAGTCTTGTTATGATTGTTCTATCCCCCCCCCGAGGGTTAAGGAATAATGTTTTATCGAGTAGATTCATCACTTGCCCTGATTAGGGTTTAGAATTTTCGAACATGTGAAAACTCTAAGTGATACTTTGTATTAAGATTGCGAGTTGTATAATAAGGAACAAAATGGAAACCCCAATATACAAGGGTTAGATGAGTTGACCGGTTTGACTTGTTGACATAAGTTGACTTTGACTTGACCAAAAATTGACGGTTGTCACACCACTGAACCCACTGTAATATCAATTTTTGTCTCTTCTTTTTCTTCATTTTTCCCAACCCACAACACACGAAAATCCTATCTTTCTCAACCCAATCAATTAAAAAAAATACAAAACAACTAAGGTACAAGTTTTACAACACATGGTACAAGAGAAAATGAGAGAGAGAAAGTAGAGAGAGATGATGAACTGGGTTAGTGAAACCAATTAAACAACCGGTTGAAGCGGGAGTGGTACCAGCGGTAACTCTATTGCTAATTAAGATTTTATCTTGATTGTTTTGTATTTTTTTTAATTGAATAGGTTGAGTGAGTTCAAAAAGATAGGGTTTCCGTGTGTTGTGGGTAGGGAAAGATAAAGAAAAATAAAAGAGGAAAAATGATGTGACAGTGGGTTCTTGGAAGGGAATGACTCCCTCCTAAAAGGTCTACGGGGTTATCTAAACCACCATGTCACTGGTCATAATTGTCACATAATTGTCACATAACTTGAATCTTTTCTAAAATAAAAAATGCATGTATTTTCAAATATTGTTGCAAAATAGGTCGTATTTTACCTTTACCACGAAGCATTGAAAAGTTTACGCTGAAAAAGTGGTTAAACTATAAGGGGTCATTTTGTTTTTTCACCTAAGTACAAGCCAAAAAATTAAAGTTTAACGATGAAAAAAATTTAAATTGATTTTCATTTAATTCATCTCGAGCGACTCAACGCTTCTCTGCTCTGCTCTACTCTCCTCTGTTTCTCATACAGAGACCGCCGGAGGCTGAACAAACGGCGACTGCCGGAATTAGCAAACGGAGCTTCTTAATTCAAGGTACAAGTCTTCGCTTCAGGTTTCTTTTTAGGTTCTTGGTTTTATTTCCGCCATTCCGGTGATAAATCGTCGATTACACACGATTCCTCACCAGTTTCACTTAATTGATTCATCCTCTCCTCTCTTTCTCAGGCGTACAGAGAACGCTGGAGTCTGAACAAACGGCGACTGCCGGAATCAGCAAACGGATCTTCTTAATTGAAGGTACAAGTTTTCTTCTACACCGTTGTTCTTTGATCTTTTGGTTCTTGGTTTTTTTTTCCGCCATTCCGGTGATAAAATCGTCGATTACACACGATTCCTCACCAGTTTCACTCAATTGAGTCATCCTCTCCTCTCTTTCTCAGGCGTACAGAGACCGCCGGAGGCTGAACAAACGGCGACTGCCGGAATCAGCAAACGGAGATTCTTAATTCAAGGTACCAAGTTTTCTTTTCTGCCTATAGCATATTCGAATTCGTTCCCATCGCTTCTTTAGGTCTAAATTATTACCTTATCACATTTGTTGTTCTTGTTGTTATATCAAATGAGTAGTTTTCGTCGATTACACGATAACTCAACAACTGAAATTGGTTTTTGAATATTCTAGTTTGAATTGCTTAGCATTATTCTCGATTGCCTTTCGGAGTCAATTTCAGGTCATATCTGTTTTCACAATATACCATACCCAATAAAAAGTTAAAAACCCTATCGAAACACAAGATTTATAAAGTTTTGAACATCATTTTTTCTCATTGACAACTGTTTACCAATATTTCTTGTTTTTCGATGTAGGATTATTATGGCTATTCCGGAAGAAGCTATTGCTGCGGCATACAATTTTGTAAGAACATTTAGTTTTTTTTTTTAGTTTATATAAAACTTTTGTAATGAAATTATGAAATATCGTATTATAGATTGATCAAGGAATCCAAGACATGCGTGCACAGCAAGAACTGTTGGAAGTTGATTTAGCTCATATTTTGGCAAGATTCCACGCCTTAGAAAATAATCATCCCCTCAGAAACCACTTAAGAATTTTGGCGCGTATAATTGTCGTGAGATACATGAAGTAAGTTTTTTTTTTCCACAAAATTTAAGAATTATAATTAACTTTTTTTATAAATAATTTAATAACTGTTTTTTTTATAGCTATTTGTTAATGGCTGATTCTTATACTCTTATAAGAATTCAGCTAAGTTGGTTGGTGTTTATCCGAAGGCAAATGGATGGGCTAATGGACGTGGTATTTTTTTTTTTTGTTTAAATGTGGTATATAGTATGTTATTTGTCCCTTGTTTTTATTTAAACTTATCAAATATTAATTTCAGATCAATGTATCAAATCTATTGGTAGAACAAATTGCTGGCATAGCTAACGGGATTACATTGGGTGATATGGATGTAAGTGTTTAATATTTTGATCCTATATTATTATTTAAAGAGAACAAGTATTGAATTTTTTTTTTTTTTTTTTGTAGGGAAATCATGCCAATTCGGTAGAAACCGTAAATAACATCAGTAATATGATACATGTTTTAGCTGTAGGACTAGGTTTGGATGGTAATGCAGAGCTTCAGGTCCCTAATAATTTTGTTGAACACGGTTAGTTTTGAAAAAACATCATTATTTATAGTTTTATCATTTATGAAAATGCTCTAATAATTTGTTAATCAATTGTGCAGTGATGAATGTATTGTTCACTCCATAACAGTGAAAGACAAAGAATGCAGTGGATTTTTTTAGTACATAAGTATCACGAGGTTTAATGGAAACTAGTGTAGTGACCCATGCGGAAGACAATTTTTTCTATTTGAGAATTGTCACTCAAACCAATTCAGTAAAGAGATTTGAACATCACTATGACATGCAACGTCTATAAAATTGTTTGAATCTGTAAAACCAAAGAATACATGAGATACACACTTTCATACTGTTGACATCAAAAAAAAATTATTACATGAATAAGAAAAGTGAATACATAAAACTTATCAACAAATATATTCATCATTAGCAAAGAAACAAATGGCAATGTAGAATTGAAAATTGAATGAAGTAAAAAATGAACCTCACTTTGCAAAGGGTATGAGGCTGAACATGTATCAGGTTCTATTGATCCTCAAAATATGTATAATTAAAAAATGTATGCTGCAAACTGTCCAAAACTTACTTGTAGAACTACACTACAAACAGCTAGAGAGATGTAATCCATAATGTCAATATGAATATCATTGAGGACAATAACAGTGTGCTCCATAAAATTTGAAGTTTGATAAACAGTGTTTCCAAATATGACCCCAGTCTCAGTTGACGACACCTTAATGTTTGCTTTTATCCGCTTTCTTGATTCAGGGGCAAGGGTGTCAAGTTTAAGGTCACCCATTGTTGCCAATTCCAGACAGAGATTCTGAAGGGTTTCTTTGGTTCTATTGATGACAGTTACAATAAGTACAATATCATAGCAACTAAAAGTAACATATGCTTCAGCATAAGCTGGATCACTGAATCCAGTGAGTTGGAGAATTCGGTTGAGTTTATTTGTAGCACCTCCCTCTTTGATAAATTCTCCATCAACACAATGTTTGACGACTTTGAAACTGTAATGACCTGAGGTTAAAAAGAATAAAACTGAAAATCTTCTCCATAAACAGATTTATAAGAAAGTATAGCAAAAAATGGCAAATAGGAGTGTCAGCTTCAGTGAGTTATGTCGCATCAGTAACGATCTAGTGAAGTTACATCTTCATGGGGAAAACACAAAACTAAAATGAATCTAACAGAACCAAGGTTTTAAGTAGATCAATCAGTTCAACAAACTTATAAATAAATAAACTAATCCACATAAATGCATTTTGTCCATACTTTTATACACCGACGACTATAAAATCTCATAACATTAGAGGTTAATATGCAGTAGCTACTCACTTAAACACAGAAAACATGAAACTTGTAATTTCATACAAAAATTGCATATGGATGAGATTGAACCACCTGTGATTCGTCTTCATTGATCCTCAAGATCAAGCGGAACATTTGACGGCTAGTTAAATCCCATTCGAGTCTGAACGTAAAACCCTAAACTCAAAAGCATCAAATAGAACGAGTCGGAATCTTTTTGTTGATACTTGGTGGGGCACGAAAGTAGGATGCTATTATCAAGTAGGGTATCATTTTCCACACAATAACCATGCAACTTTACAAAATTTTCATGTTATATATCTGAAATAATAGTTATTTCAGTCAAGAATTCTCGCAACCCTTGTCTTGATTCAGTAGAGAGAACCTTTATAGCAACTATTTTTCCATCTTTTAGTAGTCCCTAGAGATTAACAAATGTGTATTTAAAATATTAATAAGTAGTTTAGTGATAAGCTAAACACATGAAGAGTAGTTGTTAGAAATATTTGAAATTTACCTTGTAAACAGAACCAAAACGCCCCTGTCCTATCTTATTTTCCTGTTTAAAATCTCCTGAAATTTCAAAATGACAAAATTAGACCTGTTTCTTTATTTCTTCTCATCAACTTTCTTACAAAAAATGCATATCAAAATTAAAGTAAACATTAATCTAAATTGAAGGAATTTATAGATCTGAGAATTGTACCTTTTAAGCTTAAATTGAGTGAGTCCTCTACCATTTTTATCCCCTCAGCTTCTGGTTTCCCAAATATAACCTGGATAATAAGAAGAGATAACATGTCAAGTACATCTGACTTATAAAAAAAAGTGTCGAAGAGGAACAATTTAGCAGAATATAAGCAGATGACTCATAAACCGAACAAAAAACATATAAATCTAACAAAAAACATGAATTCGATTCTAAAATTATTAAGATAAAAGAACAATGGAGCAATTGCCACAAATATGGATAGGGTTAGAAAGCTAAACTATGTTGCATCAAGGTTTGGCGAAAGCGGTATGCATCAAGAACGAACGAACATAAGATAAAAGGAAGAAACTTTACCGGTTCCGGAGGTTTTGTGAGAAAAATAAAGGCGCAAAAGATTTTAGGGCTACCATCTTGACTTTTCAGATCATGAATTCATCTGAAGGAGATTGAGTGGATTTAAGCGAGTTGAAAGAGTTCGGTGGGAGGAACTACGTGGAAGGAACTGGAAGAAGGAGGATGCGGTGGAGGGATTTTAACCATGGTGGAAGGGTAACCCGATGGGTACGAAACTGTTCATAAGGCCATTGGAATTTAATTATATATATAATACATTAGTGATATTATTGAATTTTTGCAAACAATGATTGGGTTAAAAATATAAGGGTGTGTTTGGTTGGGTGGAATGGAATGAGAAAGGAATGGAATGAACTAAGTAATGGAATCGACGAGGTAATGAAATGATTCATTACCATTCCATCGTCATGTTTGGTTACTCTGATGGAATGGAATGTGTCATTCATCCATGTTGTTTGGTATGTATAAAAAAGATAAAGGAATGGAATGAAAATAATTTACAATGACAAAAATACCCTTCCAACACAAAGATCACATAATTCAATAAAGTCAACATTATCTAGTCAAAAATTTTAGTTTCTATAACTAATAACAAAAACTATTACATAAACATAAATGGTTTATAGAAATATAAAATTTTATTCATAATAAAAAACTTTGTCATAAAAACATATCAAGGTCAAACCAACATTAACAAAAAAATGATCATAATGTTCATAACTTAAAAAAAAAATTGCAATATCATAAAAAAATCATATAAATAACGTCAAGCATCATCTTCAAGCAAGTCCTTTACCCATCCAAATTTGTCTTCGTCCTCAACTATAAAGAAGATTACCATCAACTCATCATTCTTTGAAAGCATACGCACGACCTTATTACAGTCACGGACAGTTAAACCAACAACTTTTTTCATCTCAGAATACAGTTTTTTACGTAGCTCTTCTCTCTCTCTCTCTCGATTCCAAAAACCGCATTGAAGGTACTTGTTGCATTATCAATCTTTGAACCAATTATATCTGCTGAATCTTTCAAGCTGTTCATCAAAGGATCCCAACTATTTCTTCTTTTTCTCTTTCGTTGTGCACTTGAATCTTCTGAATCAAAGTGGAACTCATTTCCAGTTTTATTGTTTAACCGTGTTTTAAAACAAAACCATATAAATACGCCGATATTGGTTTTGTATTTTTGACATTTTTATCCTTTATAGCTTAAAATATACATACATTATTTCTATATGAAAATTTTGTAGGTGTTAATGAAATTATTTCAATTTTAATAATATAAACCTACATGTAAAATTCTAATTAGAGTATGTGGATGTGAATCAAAATCCACATACTTTAATTATTTCAATTTTAATAATATAAACCTCCTGGTTGTAGAGGGGCTGGGAAAGAAAGGGGACAGAAAGTCATTTTTTTTAATAGGTTGGTGTTAAGATCTTGGCTACTCCTTTAGCTAATTCAAGTTAATCAAAATCCTAGTTGTTAGGAATTGGTGCACAAATTGCTGTTAAGAGTTTGTTGCTGTTAAGAATTGGTGTGCAGATTGTTGTTAAAGGATTTCAAATGAGCATAAAGGTGACTGCCGATGCATTATCACACCAAGTCATGAGCACTTTTAAAAGGACCGCTTAAAGGATTTAAAAATAGACTACTAAAAGAATTTAAAAATTGGATGTTCATAAAAATTGGATGTTCATTTTAAAATAAAAGTGACTGCAAATTCTAATGCCCTGATCAAAATCCAAACTTGCAATCCTATCATTGTTTAATTTATGTATGCATGTTCATGTCAAACATATAACATCAATTTTTTTTGAACAACCGAATAGCAGCAATTTTGATATGTAACAACATATCACAGTAGCTTCAAAAAGATAGATAACAAGAACACAAATAGCAAATTGAATACAAAATAATTTCAAGAACACAAACAAGTGAATAACCTTATTAGATGAATGTCAATAACAGAGAATACAACAAACCAAAAAAAAAAAAAAAACTAACCTCGAAATTCTTGGAGCTGTAATGAATCTTGGAGCTGTGATGAAATATACTTGAAATTGTCTTGAAGCTTTGGTGGTCGATCACGTAATGATTCACAGAAAACAATTCTATAATGATTTCGTTGGAAATTAGTCGGCGTTTGTGAGGGAAAACGCTGCGATTATGATATCCAAGTGCAAAATCGATATCTTTTCCTCAATCAATTGAAGATGCGATGCTGATTTTTAGTGATATCGTGCCTACGCTTCCGATTTGAGAGGCTGATAGAGGGCAATTTCGGAAGATACAATTATAAGGAGGGAATGGAATGAAAAAAAAACGGGGGTACCCCATGGAATGAAAATCCCGTGTTTTGGGGGAATGAGATTGCTTCAAGAATAGGGCTTTCATTTCCTTATACGTACCAAACATGTTTTTTTTCATTACCCCTGAATATCCCATTTCATTTCTCCCTTTATTCTTGCGTACCAAACACCCCCTAAGACCCGTCTTGTGCGGAATTAAAAATATAAGTAAGGTTCTCTTATAGATTTAAAATATAAATATGTTGCTTTTATTTGAAAATAAAAGTAATTTTGTGTTTTCGTTTAAAAATATGAACATGTTGATATTTTGGTTTAAAAGTAAAAAATTTGTTGTTGATGATGAAAAATAAAATATATTATTGTTTTGAATTAAAAGTTCGTTGCTATTTTAGATTAAACATTGAAGTGTGTTTGTTTTGGGTTGACAATTGTCCTTCTCCATTAATTTTATTTGGCATGGTCAATTTTGGTTAACAATTGTCATTCACACTTAATTTTCATTTGACTAAATAAATTAATATTACTTTAAATTTTAAATTATGTAGAAATCCTTATTTTAATCATCCAAATTTTTGAGATGTTTACCAAAATTTACAATTATGTAGAAATCCTTATTTAAATTATTGAAGAAAAATATGAGGGAACTTCAAAGAAGAAAACATATTTTAACAGATTAGTATCTATATTGCGTGGTATTTCCAAGAACTTGTTGAGCTGTAAGCCATCAGTTCTGGATCAAGCATTTTCTTCTTAAGATCCTTTGCATTATCGGGTGTTGTTCTTAATTTCCTTCCAATTAATTGATCCCTTGTAGTACCCACAACCACATCACTTGCTTCATTTGGTATACCAATAGTAGAAGATCAATGATTTGAAAGCATTCCCCTTGGAGACTTCATTCACATTCAAGAATCAGGATTGAATATTTTAATTCTTAATTAAAACTTATAAAAAGACATTACTTGAGGGCTGTTTCTTTTTTACTTACTGGCCTAGGTAAAGCACTTAATCTAGACACCTATACATGGTTGTTGTTTTTTTTTTGACATAAAACACCTGTCTTAATGTATTAAGATACTAACCTTTTACCTGTTTCCCTTCTATTTTTTCCTCCCAACTCCTCTCACATTAAAACTATTGAATATTGTTATTTGATATTGTGAAATTTGTATTTTCTTAATATAAGGGTAAAACAGTCATTTAGTCTCATTCAACTGCTTTCTTCATTCTAGACCAGAAACAGACCTTTATCCAGGCAAACATCATTACCCATTAAGCCAATTCACCTATAAAGGACTTAATGGAGAGAAAAAAAAACAGTCCCTTTAATATCAAATCCAAATTTGAATTCTAAATTTACTTACTGGTTTAGGGGTTTGGATTCCACCTCCCAAGGCGGGAAACGATTGCGTGGGTAAAGACAGGGGCATATTTGTCTTTTGCCTTTTCTGAGATGCTGAAACGGTTGGACAGAGTGAATTTGGGTCATGGACAGATCGGGGAATGTTGAGCATTGTGGTGCGTGTCCCTTTTGAGAGTAGTTCTCTATGTTTATCATCGGAAACACGCAGCTCGTTCCCAAGTTCAGTTATTAATCTTTCCTTCTCCTGAGAGGGCATTTAAGTAAATTCATCAAAGCACAAATGAAGTCTGGGGTATAGATATGTAGAAAGGTGAAAATCATACCCATGAAAGCGCATCAGATTGTGCTTTGAAAGCTCGTAGCACTGAATTGCATGCTACTTGCTCAAGAAAGCGCATCAGATAATACCCCTTTTACTCGACTGATGAATGCCATGATTTTACATTTCAGCTCATGCGTTCATTGTGGGAAAATTTTATTTCAAGGTACATGGTCATATATCATGTATCCTTTTTTTAATAAATGTTTTTGTACGTTGTTTTTATATGTTTTCTGTTACTTTCAATTTCTTTGTAATATTTGTCTCAAATTTTATGTTGCAGGAATTTGGCAACGGGTATTGTTAATGGCACCATGTTATAGGTCAAAACCACCTTACAAGTCAAAACCACTATTAATAAACTATTATTTATTGTTGTCAAAGAGGTTAAAGTGAGATGGTAAAAAAATATGACATGCAGACTCATTATAATAATTTTACATCTTTGTTCCTTTATTTTACTTTTTATTTTCTCTTTCAATCCTTTTAATTTTAAAGTGTTTTATCTATAACCTTTTGATATATATATATATATATATATATATATATATATATATATATATATATATATATATATTAATTTACATGAATCGTCCATCATGTAAGTACCAAAAAGCATGTTTGGTCTATATTTTCAAAAATTAACTCGGACCGTCTTTCGTTTGTTTAAAACTTACATGCTTCATCCCTAAAATTGTATTTCAGACATAGAAGGACTGTTTTACCCTTATATATATTAATTTTATTTTATTTATTTATTTATTTATCATTTATAATATAGAAAAATAAAAGAGGCCCACCCTACCCTTCGCTCGTACACCCATATGTCGTATCCCACTCCCTTTCCTAACTTGACTCCCTTTTTCTCATCACTAAACCTTTTTGATGGAAAACACATTATCGGAGAAGATGAGACGGCGTAGAAGATGATCAGAGAAGATGGGACGGCGTAGAAGATGATCGGAGAATATGAGATAGCATACAAGATGAGATGGAGACTGGTTTATCAGTCAAAGAAGAAGATAGAGAGAAGAGGAGATGGAGGCGGCGTGGTTGACTGGTCGGAGAGGAGGATATGACGGCCATCTGGTCGGCTGGTCGAAGAAGACAGGAGGATGGGAAGGAAATGGTTGGAGTCTTGGAGAAGGGATAGGTTCAGAAAAGGGCATTTTAGTAATTTTATGCTCGGTAGGGACTGCAAGTTTTAAACAAACGAGGGATGGTCCGAGTTAATATTTTAAAATATGGACTAAAAGTGTGTTTTGGCACTTGCACGAGGGACGATTCGTGTAATTTATATATATATATATATATATATATATATATATATATATAAGTTCAATTGAGAAAATAAAAAATGTTGAGAATGGGGGAATCGTTCTCAGCCACTCATTTATTTTTGAAGCAAAAGCCTTTGTTGTACCAGCGGAAATAGATAAAGAATACACATGTGTTTCCAACAAAACATGTTTCCTTAAACTATGCTAATCATTACCTTAATATATACAAAACATAGTTTTTTTTTTGTTTTTTTTTTAATTTTTAAGAAGCTATTTATATCGAAAAATGATTTTAAATATACCAAAATTTATGATTTTTATTCTCTACAAATAGACATCCATATTGATATACTTTTAAGATAAAATAATTTTTTTTTTTAATATTTTCAGCTATCGTTATTCATAAGTGAATAAAAAAGCTTCAGATTTTTGCTACAGTACATTCGTTATTCACTTATGAATAAAAATATATAATTTTTTTTTTTACAGTTTAAGTATCATTTATACTACTTATTCATATATGAATAACAATCTGATAAATGTTTTATTCATATATGAATATAAAATATGACGACAACTAATACACGTTTTATTCATATATAAATATAATATATGATGAAAGATGATGTAAAAATTATATTTTAAGTAAGAAAACTTTATTGCGTGTCATATTCATATATGAACGGTACTTAAACTATAAAAAAAGTTACGCATACGTTTTATTCATAAGTGAATAACGAATATACTGTAATAAAAATCTGATAGATTTTTTTATTCACTTATGAATAACGATAGCTAAAACTCTAAAAAAAAATTATTTTATCTTAAAAGTATATCAATATGGATGTCTATTTATAGAGAATAAAAAATTATGAATTTTGATATATTTAAAATAATTTTTCGATAATAATGAGTTTCTAAAAATAAAAAAAACGAAAAAAAAAAATATGTTTTTGTGTATATTAAGGTAATGATTAGTATAGTTTAATGAAACATGTTTGGTTGGAAAACACATGTTTATCCGTTATCCATTTCCGACGGTACGTCTAAGTGTTTTGCGGCAAAATAAATGTGTGGCTGGGAATGATTCCCCCATTCTCAACCTTTTTTTTTTCTCAATTGAACCCTCCTCTCTCTCTTTATATATATATATATATATATATATATAATATATATATATATATATATATATATATATATATATATATATATATATATATATATATATATATATGCTGAAACATTGGTTTTCTTTATCGTTAACATGTTTAACGTAGTCGTTCATTTCTTAAGTAAACAAGATACATCGCCAACTATACATATATTATATTTTGTATTTGTTTAATGGGATACAAAACGAATGAATATAAATAATCATTGTCTCCACTAAACGAGAAAAGCCCACTGTTTCGTTCGTTTGCTTTGTAAAAAGAACAAAAATCATGTTTAAATTCATCAACTTATTAAATAAGAAAAAGTAAATGAATTTTTGTTAAACAGATTATGAATGTTTGAATATATGTTCAGTATGTTTACCCTTATATTTTAATAATAACTTTAAATTTAAAAATAAAATGTTAAATGACATATTAAATAAATTTATTTAAAATATTACAATATATTTTATTTTAATATAATATAAATTAAATAGAAATTTTGGAAAAAAAAACCATATTATTAAGCTTATAACAAAATAAATAACTATAAGGTTTAATAATATATAGACAAAATTACAAAAATGGTCCCTGTGGTTTTGCCAAAAGTAACAAAGTCTCTGTTAATTTTTTTTGATGCAAATGGCCCCTGTGGTTTGCAAAACTTGCATAGACGGCCCTTTTTACTAACGCCGTTACTATTCTGCCGTTAGGGACTGAATCTGTAAGGGCATTTTCGTCTTTTCAAGTATAAAGGGACTGAATTCGTGACATTTACTAAACCACAGGGACCATTTTTGAAATTTCTTTGAAAAAAACAATTAAATTGCTAGGGGAGGGCTCAAACTCATCTCCACCCCTTAAATTACAAAAGCCTTAACCAATTGAGCTGAATGCTCTCTTGGTTTATTT